ATTTATATGCTGCTTCCTTAGCCCTTCAGGACTCTCTGGGCAGCATACAATCCAAAACAAATATATAACAATATATGCTTAGGTACAGAAATAATCTGAGATAGCCAAACATGAGTTATATCCAAAATAACACTGACAGCACAATCCAATGATTGCTAGGCAGCATCTTGACAAGCCATAGAATCTTTTGGATTCCCAGCTACAAGGTGAGAAAATAGCACCAGCCTTGTAGCTGAGGATCTGTACTTGGATCCCTCACCCCACCAACAATGCAGAAAGAACCACACCAACTACTTCTCCAAGGATGCAAAAGCAGAGTGGTTTAGCGGCAATTCTGGGGGTCACACTGTGTCATCCTGGCAGTACCTCACCTCCTTCCCTTCCACTCTGAAGCATGACACCCAGATGGAACCATTATCTTTAGAAAGTTTTCCCTCACATTCAACCAAAATCTGCTTCTTATCACCTATGGCCATTATTTCATGTTCTACAGTTTTGGATGATTTGTGGCCCTCTATTACATCTACAAGTGCTGTCATATACCCGCTCCCCACATCAATCTTCTCTTCTCAAGGCCCAGGTACAATGCTTCTATTCAAGTGACACGGTTTCGATCATAGTTCCGCAGTTTTCATATTTTGCATGAAGAAGGCCCAAAATTGAGCCAGTATTTCAAGTTAAAAGCTCAGGTAGCAGGTAAGGAAAAGGAACCACACCAGAGATGCTGAATAGCCACCCAGTGTAAACAGCATTGATCTAGACAGGGGGATGGTCCAGCTCACTACAAGGCAGCTTCATATGGGACATATGGTCATGGGACATTGATTATGGAAAACACCACTGTCATTCACATTAAAGTAAGTTTTAAGGCACATACATAGAATGTCATGCTAGAAACATTGATAAACTGGGTATCATAATACAGAATTCACAGAAATACACCAAAAATCAGAAATGCAAAATGGAACCTAAGTGATAATGGATAGAACATAGTTACTCTAGCATAATTAATCAGATCCCATGATTTCATTGGCACAAATGCAAGCAAGAAGTATAGATGTACATTGTTTGCTATATGTTGTATGATATGCTATCAGATAGCTAAAATGTGCCATGTCAGAGTTAAGGGGTAAGAAAACACAGGAATAAGTATTTTTTTCCTCATTCTTCCAAGGAGAAGTGATCAATAATCACTTTGTCTTATAATTTATCACTTATAACTTAGTTCCCACGTTGATATGTCTAGTACTATATGGCCACACAGCATTTTTAAATTCCATTTCTCAGTTTGGGTAACTGAAATTCCTTAGCATATTTTAACAAGCTAATCTATATGAAACCACAATGTTTGTTTATTTTTCTATTCAATGTGCCAAACCCAAGCATGAATATTAAGAAAATATCCAGAAAATATTAAGGAAGGGCTGACATTTGGTTAGGGGTTTGAACTGGGGGAAAGAAGGAAACATTACATTTAGTTGTTACCAATATTTACACATTTAGTAAACAATAGTCAATTTCCTCTGCTTTAAATTGGGATTTTGTGTGTGCATGGGAAAGCCATAAGCATTTCAAATTCAGGGTTGGTACAGATACAGTGTAGCAGTAATGCAAGCTGATACAGGTTTCAGCACTTTGTCTATGTACTCCAAATGGTAGGGAAAACCCTGATGAAAAGACAAATCTACATTCTGTAACTTCAGTTCTTTGCACATTTGTATCTCCCCTCATGTGCACAACCACACACACCAAACTAACAGAACTACAGCCAAGTCTTCATCTTTATTTCTATACAAAAAACCAGCAACCATGAAGAGCTGTTATCTACTACTATTCCATAACCAAGGAGTGTGCAACCTACGGCCTACAACTGTCATCATCCTTTACCATTGGTTTATGTTTGCTAGGACTGATGGGAGTTGTAGGCCAAAGCAGCTGGAGACAACTGCCCACCCTGCAAGACCATTTCTGGCACTCCAAGTCCCCAAGATGCTAACGACCACCCAAAATCATGCATCCCTGATTCAATGGGTCGTGTTCAACCATCACCAGGCCAACAAAACACTCTATGCCTGCATTCACATTGCAACTTTGCCTATTAGTCTTTCTAGCGAATTTCAGAGTGCAGTTGGAGCACTAAACCTGCATCGTCCAAACCCACTAGCCCCAGCACTCCGAATGCAGAACACATCGCTTTCAATTCCCAACCCTAGTGCTCTAAAGCATCCATAAAGCCAAACGAAGGCTCTGATCCACCCAATTCCACCTCAAACCACCTTCTCGCCTCATCTGTCCTCCATCTATTTCTGGAAAACCTTGCTCAACAGGACCGTGCGCGCGCACACGCCCACCCCGATTCAAAGAATCCAATCCGGAGCCAAAGGAGAGGAGAGTTATTTGTATCGCCGCACCATCCTCATCTTTCACTGTCGTCTTGCCTTAGGACTCAAGATGATGATAATGATGATGCCTATGCCGCCACGAGGCTCGTTTCAGCCCTCTTCCTCTTTACGAATGGGAAGCTTACAAGTCCTCCCCCCACCCCACCGCGTCTACTGAACTCCTGTCCTGAAACCAGGCACCCCTTAGTCTGTCTCCCTTTGGCACTTCCCCTCGCAAGCCACCCCCAGCCTCCCCAGATTCACCCCATGCCACCGCCGGCCCCCACCTCGTGGCCAGAATTAGCAAGAAATTCACAGAATACTCCCCCGCTCTCTTCCCAGGAAGCAGACAAAGCGGCGGCGATGCACCTGGCACCCCAGCGGCTCTGTTTCGCTCTCACCTTAGTCCAGTCTGAGTCAACTGATGCCGAGCGTAAATTAGGCTTAGGCTTTCGCGAGGAGTTCTTGCCTCCTCGCCGACCCTCAGCCCCAACTTTCCGACCTCCTCAAGGACGCAGCAAGAAGCAGCGCTGGGCTGAGAAGAAACGGCACGCACGCGCCGGAGCCCGGCCGCTGTTGCCCCGAGGACCCCGTAGGTCGCTCGCTCTGCCGAAAGCAACGAACTCCGGCAGCTGGATGCACGCGCCACGGCAGGCCAGAACGAGGCGGCAGCCGCCGGCTGCACCGCGGCGCTCACCCCTCACTCAGCCCGCGTTGCCTGCGCTACGGCTGCCGCCAGCCCACCGCTTCAGCCTCACGCGCTTACCGTAAGGAGAGGCGGAGAAGTCCCCCTTCCTAGCCATGAGCCCCCGCCGTCTTTCAGCCTTGCAGAGCCGGGAGCCCGAACTCAGCGTGCTCTTTGTTGCTGTGATGGCATGTAAGGCGGGCGGGCGGCGGCCGAGCTCTTGGTGATTGTTTGTTTTCTTCCTTTGCGCTTCTCTTCCCCAGAGCCCGTCGCTGCGCCCAAAAGCGAGCCCTCACTAGTCACTCCAAGCGGCGTTCAAGGCGGGGGGGGGAGGGGGGGCTGCAGCAGGTAAACACTGTAGAGGTCTGTGAATAGGCGGCGGCGGAGGCTGCAGCAGTTACTGAGAGCCTTCCCGGCCTTCCTGTGCATGCGGAGAAAGAGGGAGCTCGCGGGACTGCCCCCCAGCCTCAGCCCGCCCCACTATTCGCATGCAGCCAGCCAGATCGCAGCAATAAGCCCCCAAAGGCGCCACAAGCCGCTCCTACTTGGAAGGCAGTCGCTAACTTCAGTCCAGAGGGGATGACTGCAGTAACGCAACTTCGGTCACGCAATAGATTTGGCGGGGCTGGGAGAAGGGATTTTGCCGGTCTGTGGGACTAAAGTACATGCTCATTTTTTTGCACGCGTGCGCGCCTTGTTTGGGTCTCCTGTGGTGTGGGGGGGTATGGAATATCAACTCTCCGAAGCCTAGTAAAGTAGAGTGTGTGTCCGCGCCATGCACCCTTTAGATAATCTTTCTAACACGCCCAGGACGGCAGCAGTGGTAGATTCTTATCCTCAGCCTCGAAAATGGCCATGGGGAAAGTCAATGATTTTGTTTCTTTTTCGAATTGCCTACACTTTCCAGAAATCTATAGCCAATAGTACAACGTGAAGTGGTCCTCGCCTTTAAAGTGCCTTTCCTGCTTAGGAAATTGGCCTTGGAAAGTTTGCTTTCTTTTTATATAAGCCGGTCCTGGAGCTGTCCTGTCCATCTGTGCCGTGGTGGAAGGTCACATAACTTAGCTGTCCAACTTCCATCGCTTTCGGAGCTGGGCCTCAGAGTATCCATCAAAGTTCTGTTCATAATAACGCAGGCTTTGGGTGGCCGACTGGTTTGAAGTCTTTACTATTTCCACAGTAAGATCACAATAGAGAAGAGAGAATAATGGCAGTGTACATAAACCCCAACCAATGTTTTATCCCTGCATTTTTAAAAGTGTATATACACTTCTCAAAATACACATCTATTTTAACACAAAATACATATATACACATCTCAAATTCAACGGTGGTGGTGTTGTTAGTTGCGAAGTCGCATCCAATCCGTTGTGACCCCATGGACAACATTCCTCTAGGCCTTCCTGTCCTCCACCATCCCCTGGAGTCCACTTAAGCTCACACCAACTGCTTCAGTGACTCCATCTAGCCACTTCATCCTCTGCCGTCCCCTTCTTTTGCCATCAATCGTTACCAGCATTAGGCTCTTCTCCAGGGAGTCCTTCCTTCTCATTAGGTGGCCAAAGTATTTGAGTTTCATCTTCAGTATCTGGCCTTCTAAAGAGCAGTCAGGGTTGATCTCCTCTAGGACTGACCGGTTTGATTGCCTTGTGGTCCAGGGGACTCACAGAAGTCTCCTCCAGCACCACAGTTCAAAGGCCTCAATCCTTCGTTGCTCAGCCTTCCTTATGATCCAGCATTCACAGCCATACATTGCAACTGGGGAAACGATAGCCTTGACTATACACACTTTCGTTGACAGGGTGATATCTCTGCTTTTTAGTATGCTGTCTAGATTTGCCATTTTCCTCCCCAGGAGCAAGCATTTTTCAATTTCTTGGCTGCAGTCCCCCTCTGCAGTGATCTTGGAGCCCAGGAAAATAAAATCTGTCACTACTTTCATTTCTTCCCCATTTATTTGCAAGGAAGTGATAGGACCGGATGCCATGATCTTAGTTTTCTTAATGTTGAGTTTCAAGCCAACTTAAGTACTCTCCTCCTATACCCGCATCAAGAGGCTCTTTAGTTCCTTTTCACTTTCTGCCATTAGAGTGGTATCATCGCCACATCTGAGGTTGTTAATATTTCTCCCAGCAATCTTAACTCCAACTTGTGATTCATCTAGCCCTGCGTTTCTTAAGATGTGCTATGAATATAAGTTAAGTAGGCAGGGTGACAGCCTTGCCGAACTCCATTCTCAATTTTGAACCAATCAGTGGTTCCATGTCCAGTTCTCACTGTTGCTCCTTGACCCGCAAATAGGTTTCTCAAGAGACAAATAAGATGGTCTGGTACTCCCATCTCTTTAAGAACTTGCCACAATTTGATGTAATCCACACAATCAAAGGCTTTAGTGTAGTCGATGAAGCACAAGTAGATATTTTTCTGGAACTCCCTAGCTTTCTCCATGATCCAGCATATGTTGGCAATTTGATCTCTAGTTCCTCTGCCTCTTCGAAACCCTGCCTGTACTTCCGGTAGTTCTCAGTCCACATACTGCTGCAGCCTAGCTTGTACGAGTTCGAGCATAACTTTGCTAGCAAGTGAAATGAGTGCAATGGTGCAGTAGTTTGAACATTCTTTTGCATTGCCTTTCTTTGGAATTGGAATATTAACTGACCTTTTTCAATCCTGTGGCTATTGCTGAGTTTTCCAAAGTTGCTGACATATTGAGTGTAGCACTTTTACTGCATTGTCTTTTGGGATTTTGAATAGCTCAACTGGAATGCTGTCGCCTCCACTAGCTTTGTTGTTGCTCAGACTTCCTAAGGCCCATTTGACTTCACATTCCAGGAGCCTGGCTCAAGGTCAGTGATCTTGTATAGTTCTGTGTAATCTTGCCACTTCTTCTTAATCTCTTCTGCCTCTGTTAGGTCCCTGCCATTTTGGTCCTTTCTCATGCCCATCTTTGCATGAAATGTTCCCTTCATACCTCCAATTTTCTTGAAGAGATCTCTGGTCCTCCCTATTCTACTGTTTTCGTCTATTTCTTTACACTGTTCATTTAAGAAGGCATTCTTATCTCTTCTAGCTATTCTCTGGAATTCTGCATGCACTTGGGTGTATCTTTCCCTTTCTCCCTTGCCTTTCGCTTCCCTTCTTTCCTCAGCTATTTGTAAAGCTCCAGACAGCCATTTTGCTTTCTTGCATTTCTTTTTCTTTGGGATGGTTTTAGCTGCTACCTCTTGTATAATGTTGTGAACCTCCATCCATAGTTCTTCAGGCACTCTGTCTATCAGATCTAATTCCTTAAATCTATTTGTCACCTCTACTGTATATTCATCAGGAATATGATTTAGGTCATACCTGAGTGGCCTAAAACTTTTCCCTACTTTATTCAATTTAAGCCTACATTTTGCAACAAGAAGTTCATGATCTGAGCCACAGTAAGCTCCTGGTCTTGTTTTTACTGACTGTATAGAGCTTCTCCATCTTTGGCTGCAGAGCACATAGTCAATCTGATTTCTTTGCTGATTTCTTTGGTGATGTCCATGTGTAGAGTCTCTTGTTTGACCACGTCCAGCTTGCCTTGATTCATAGATCTTACATTCCAGGTTCCTATGAAGTATAGCTCTTTGCAGCATTGGACTTTCCTTTCACCACCAGATACATCCACAGCTGAGTGTCCTTTCGGCTTTGACCAGTCACTTCATTCTTTCTGGTGCTACTAGTCCTAGCCCTCCGCTCTTCCCCAGTAGCACATTGGACACCTTCCGACCTGAGGGGCTCATCTTCCGGCGTCATATCTTTTTGCCTATGGGGTTTTCATGGCAAAGATACTGGAGTGGATTGCCATTTCCTTCTTCAGTGGATCACGTTTTGTCAGCTCTCTGCTATGACCTGTCTGTCTTGGGTGCCCCTGCACAGCATAGCTCATAGCTTCATTGAGCTACACAAGCCCCTTCGCCCATATCACCTTATATTCATGTTCTTTAATTCTAACCAACCTATTCTTATATACTCTTTTACTCCAAATATTCTTCCAATCCTTGTCTTTTATTTCACCTACATCCATTTCCCAAATTGATTTTAAACTTTTTGTCTGATCCCCTAATTCTATTAATATTCTATAAATTTTAGCAATTCTTCCTTTACCTGTATATTCTTCCTTAATCTCACAATCTTTCACAAACGTTTCAAATTTTGTTAATTGTCTTTCATCCTCTTTAAATTTTTCCTCCATCTTTATCCATTTTTCTAATTGAATTAAATTTGACCAATTTAGTTTGGCATCTGCCAATACACTCCTTGATTGTGTTACATATTTTATCTTATTTTTCCATTATATATTATTTTTTAATTTATTAATCCAATTCTTTGATTCTAGTTTTGGGAATTTCTCCATTTCGACCACTGGTGTTAACGGAGAAATTCCTGGCATTAACTGTTGTCTCCATATTTCTCATACTTCCATCGTATTTTTAAAAAAGGGATTTTGAATTCTCTTAATCTTTTTATATCCTTTTTAAACCAGTATGTCTCTAAATGATCACTTATTTCCCTTCTTTTAATTCAATATCGCTCCATATTATTCCCTTACTTTGGGCTATAATATCTGGAACTATCTTTAATTGATTTGCAACCCGATACTTTTTAATATCTGGATACCCAGCCTTACCTTTCTTTGTGATTCATACCATAATACTTTACTTATTCTTGCTCTCTTCCCTCCATTATAACATACCTCCAATAATTTCTGTATTTTCTTTAATTCTAGATCATAAAACCTGTTTGAAATAATCCAAAACAAAAAAATCAAATCTTTAGCAGAATTTTCATTTTTATTACTGCTATTCTTCCAAACCCTGATAATTTTACATTTTCATATTTTCATATTTTATCTTTTATATCCTTAACTTTTCATAACTTTTCTTTAGTTCTTGACTAATTCTTGGAATATCAGTTCCGAAGTATTTAATACTATCTACTATTTTTAATTTATACTTTTCTTCTAATATATCCAGTTCTTCACTATTATGATTCTATAACATCATTTCTGATTTTTCCCAATTTACTTGCAACCCACAATAATTTCCAAATTCCTAAATATGATATTCTCTCTATAGTATTTATTGGATCTTGAAGTGTGAACAATGTGTCATCTGCAGAT